AGGGGGCTTTCGACGAGCTCAAACGATATCTATCTTCACCTCCTGTGCTCTCCAAACCCAAGGTAGGGGAGACCCTCTACCTCTACCTTGGGGTTAGCCCGGCGGCCATCAGCTCTGTGCTCATCCGGGAGGAAGACGGCATCCAACATGCCATCTTCTACGTTAGCAAGACCCTAAGGGAGGCCGAGCTCAGGTACTCCCCTGTGGAAAAAACGGTGTTGGCCATCGTTTGGATGGTCAAAAAGTTGGGCCACTACTTTCAGGCTCACCCGGTTCATGTCCTCACCCATCAACCCCTCGGCGCCCTCATGAGGAGCCCCACCAGCTCCTCCCGCATGGTGAAATGGGCTATCTTCTTGAGCCAGTACAACATTGACATCCGCCCAAGGCCTGCCATCAAAGGCCAAGCCCTGGCGGACTTTGTGACGGAATGTACCGCAAGGGCAGCCACGGACGGGGAGCCCTCGGCTACCTCGGACGACTGGTGGACCCTCTACACTGATGGCTCCTCCGCGACCAAAGCATGCGGGGGAGGGGTAGTCCTCATTACTCCCGAGGGCTTCAGGGCCTACTATGCAATCCGCTTCTCCTTCAAGGTCTCCAACAATGAGGCCGAATATGAGGCCCTCCTATGTGGCCTTCGGCTGGCTGCCAACATGAGGGCTCGGCAGATCCACATCAAATGCGACTCCAAGTTGGTCGTCGGCCAAATCTCCGAAGAATATGAGGCCAAGGAGGGGAGAATGAAACAGTACAAGGAAGCGGCCAAGGAGTTGCTTAAGGTATTTGAGGCACACTCTCTCACTCAAATACCGAGGGCTCAGAACTCCGAGGCCGACATATTATCTAAGCTCTCGGCCGACTCCCCCGAGCACATCTCCAAAATTGCCAAGATCGAGGAACTCAGCCTCTCAAGCATCCATGCAAGCCCCGTTATGAACATACAACAACGTCAGGAGGATTGGATCTCAGATATCACCGCTTTCATCTCCACAGGGCAGCTACCCGAGAATGAGGCCCGCGCTAAACTGGCAAAGCTGAGGGCTCCTAGCTACACCATCGAAGATGGGAGGCTCTACAAACGATCTTACAATGGCACGCTACTTCGGTGCCTTCATCCAGATGAAGCCGAGGTCGCAATGGAGGAAGTGCACAGTGGCACTTGCTCAGCTCACCAGGGACCCTTCTCCATGTCCCGAAGGCTCATTCTCCAGGGCTACTTTTGGCCAACCATGGCCAGGGACTGTGCTGACCTTGCCCAGAGGTGCACCGCATGTCAACATTTCCAGAAAGCTCCCGGCAGGCCAGCGGTCAACTATGCCCCCATCAGCACCTCTGTCCCATTTTCTCGATGGGGGATAGACCTTGTGGGCCCTCTGCCGAGGGGTACCTCCAACAACAGATACATCATTGTGGCCGTCGACTATTTTACCAAGTGGGTGGAGGCTGAACCCCTCGCCAGCATCACAGAGGCGAAGTGCCGTCACTTCGTCCTCAAGAACATCCTCACAAGGTTTGGCGTCCCCCAGCAGATCATCTCCGACAATGGGACACAATTTGAGGCAGCCCCCTTCTGTTCCCTTCTGGAGGCATGGGGCATCAAACACACCTTCTCCTCCGTTGCCTACCCTCAAGGCAACGGGCAAGTAGAGAACGCCAACCGGACCTTGCTCGAGGGCCTCAAAAAGAAGCTGGAGGCCGAGGGTGGTGGCTGGGTGGAAGAACATCACAACATCCTTTGGGCCTACCGCACCACCCCTCGGCGAGCTACAGGTGAAACACCCTTCTCCCTCTGCTACGGTTTTGAAGCCAAAGCTCCTACGGAAGTCACCCTTCCTACCCGAAGGGTGATCCAATATGACCCCGAGGTCAACGACAACAACATGGCCCTCGACCTCCACCTCATTTCAGAACGCCGGGAGCAGGCCTTCATCCGGGCAGAAAACTACCGAAGGCAAGTTAAAAGCTACATCGACGCCAAAGTTCGCACCCGAGAATTTCAAGTGGGGGATTATGTCCTCCGGAGGAGGGAAGCCAGCCAACCAACCGAGGGAGGAAAAATGGCAACAAAATTCGAAGACCCCTACATCATAGCAGCCATCATCAAACCCGGGACCTACAAGCTCAAACGCCCCAACGGGAAAGAAGTCCCTAGGCACTGGAATGTACACCACTTAATTAAATTTTATCAATAATGTAAGAGCGGCCAAGCCCTCATAACTAGTGAATGTACTATCCTATGGCCCAAGGCCTCCAATTTCGAAGAATGAAGATACATTCAAGACATCAAGCCCTCATACTGACTACAGGCCCACCGCCTCACCACGAGAAAAACCCCCTCCGGCACCAAGTGCCGAGGGCGGACGCCATCAACACCTACAACATCAGTGAAAACACCACGTGTTTTCAGTCAAGACCCCTCGGTACCAATTGCCGAGGGAAGGAACTCCTATCACCAACAACGAGGAACACCATGTGTTTCATTTCCCTTCGGCACCCAGTGCCGAGGGTACATCCCCACCTTCAACATCAAAAAAAAAAAGATGAGAACACCAAGTGTTCCTACAGAAGACCCTTCGGCACCCAGTGCCGAGGGTACACCTCCATCATCAAACATCGAAACGAAGAAAAAACACCAAAATGTTTCAAAGAAGACCCCTCGGCACTCAGTGCCAGGGATATGCTCTCCTTTCAACTTCCAAACATCTGTTGGGAAACACCAAGTGTTTCATTTGAAGACCCTTCGGTACCAAGTACCGAGGGTAGACGCCTACATCAACTACAACAATAGGGAACACCAAGTGTTCCTATAGAAGACCCCTCGGTACCAAGTACCGGGGGCCACACATCGAAACTAACACCAAGTGTTGTTTCTAAAAGCCGTACCCCACGAGGACGCATATACCGAAGGCGCCACCATCGGTGCCGGCGGCACGTAGTGCCCCCGGCCATTTGCAACTAGTGTGCAAATGAAAACCCTTCCTTGAAACGCTTTCCGCGTCACTACCCCCAGGGTATGACAGGCATGAGAAATGCCCAGGATTCGACTTTCAAAAACGGAACGCTATCCGCGTCACTACCCCCCAAGGTATGACAGGCATGAGAAATGCCCAGGATTCGACTTCCAAACCGAAACGCTCCCCGCGCCACCACCCCAAGGGTGTGGCAGGCCACGGACTATGTCTAGCGCCGAGGGGACGACTTTCAAAAATGAGGCGCTTTCCGTGCCATCCCCCAAGGGGAGGCAGGTTACGGACCACCATATCTTGTGCCCAGGAAACGTCCCTCGATCCCCTCGGAACTCGGAAGGTTAACCCGAGGGAGGAGAGCCATTGGTGTATTCTGATGGTCTCCTAATAGGCCCAGCCTTACCAAGAAACCAAGTTTCTTGATGCCTTCCCTTCACCACCAACCAAAAAAAAAAAAAAGAGGGGGTGAAGGGGAGTAGACTCAGCGAGAAATCAAAGAGTACACTCCAACAGATCACAACAAGCCGAGGGCTCCCCACGGGAACACCTCCGGTAACTGAAGGCTCCTATTTCCCGAAGGATACTACTCAAACAAATATCATCAGGAAACGGCTAAGTCCACTGCCTGGTCACCTCCAGTCACACAGGCACCGAAGGCTCCAGCAAGGGTCGAAATCTACACCTTTTAAAAATTATGCCGAGGGCACACACTCATCGTTGGCATTCTTCACAACAACGGGATTCCACACATATTTGGCCCTCGGCCAGAGACCCATACAACACAAGGGATCTACATCCAGAAGCTCAACACCAATTTACACTTAGAAAATATTCTAAGTCCTAAATTAGCAGCCCCCAGGCATCTCGCAAAGTAATGCAGAGTCAGATGACACCTATCACCCGAAGGCTACACAAGGAAACAGCACTTGAAAAAATTCTAAGTCCTAAAGATTGGGCCCCCGGCCCAATCAGCATTACAGCCAAGGGAATATGGTAGCCGAAGGTCATGCAATGCAACAACACTTGAAAAAATATATTATGTCCTAAATGAGCAGCCCCCGGGCATCTGGCAAAGTGATGTGGAGTCAGAGGGCACCTATCACCCGAAGGCTCCCAAGGGAAAATCTACACTTAGAATACTTTCTAAGTCCTGCATATTTCCCCCCCGGTCAACTACTCTTACATCAAGGAGGGATGCCATCTCTCGAAGGCTCCCAAGGGAAAATCTACACATAGAATACTTTCTAAGTCCTGCATATTCCCCCCCCGGTCAACTACTCTTACATCAAGGAGGGATGCCATCTACCGAAGGCTCCCAAGGGAGATTTTACACTTAGAATATTTTCTAAGTCCTACATTCTTTTCCCCGGTCAACTACTCATACATCAAGGAGGGATGCCATCTCCCGAAGGCTCCCAAGGGAAATTTTACACTTAGAATATTTTCTAAGTCCTGCATATTTTCCCCCCCGGTCAGCTACTCATACACCATGGAGGGATGCCACCTCCCGAAGGCTCCCAAGGGAAACTCTACACTTAGAAGATTTTCTAAGTCCTACATATTTCACCCTCATCTCAAGGGACCTAATTGCCGAAGGCTACCTATCAATCGAGGGCTACAGTACACAAGGAATCAACACTCAAGAAAATTTTCTAAGTCCTAATTGCTGCTGAACCCTCGGTGGCATATCCAGCAGAGGGTGCCCAACTACCGAAGGCTTCCGGGGGCAAGCTACAGTCAGAAAATATTCTAAGTCCTAAAACATACATTCAAAAAAAAAGAAGGCATACATCCAAAGCAAGACGAAGGCATACATTCGACAATGAACAAATCAAAAGGAAGCATATCATATACACAAAGCCCGAAGGCAATCATTCAATTACAACAAAAATAGTCAATGTAATCATTACAGAGTATGGCCAGAGCCGAGGGGTGACAAATGTTCATTACAAGGCTTTTTCAAAAATTGACTAAGTACTAATCTTCTCGGCGGCTTCAGCCTCATTTTCTCTGGGGGCATCTTCCACGACAGCCTTGGAGGAGACTTCTTCTCCGGCAGCATCACCCCCGAAGGCTCCACCCCCATCACCCCCATCATCACAGAATCATAGATTGTTGGCCGCTCTTCACCCGGGGGGAGGGGAACTCTGACATCTGGTTGCAACGGAGGGAGGCCATATACCGAGGGGTCAAATTGTTCGAGGGACACGCCAAAGTGCCTGGCAAGCCTCCGGTAGATCAGGTGCTGGGTAAAGAACTCACCCCCTGGTAGTAGGCGTCCCCCCTGTCAGTCAGCCAGTCAACCCCCGGGCCTTCTACCCAAGCGTCCACCGAGGCTGCCACCACGGAGGCAACCCACTCCTTGTGGCCCTCGGCCCTCCAGCCCTCAGCGAGGAACTCCGCAACTGCCTCCCCTCGGGCCTCGGCCGCAGCTCTCTCCTTAGCAGTTTGGGCTTCTTCGGCAGCTTTTTTCGCCGCCTCGGCAGCAGCCCTCTCGGCCTCCGCCTTGCCCTCGGCTATGCCGTCAGCTTTGGCCTTCTCCGCCGCCGCCTTCGCCTCCCGAAGGGCCTCCTCAACCTGTGCAGCATGCTTCACCGCCTCGGAGTTCTTGCGGATCAGCCCCTCCACCTTCTTATCTTGGGCGGCCTCGTGAAGGCGCCTTTCTTCGCGCCTCCGGGCCTGTTCCCCGAGGGCTATGCAGGCCTGCAAACAACGATCAAAGGAGTTAGATTATTCCACAGGGAAAGATAATACTAAAACTGATAAGATAAGGGAAAAGGAAGCAGATACTTACAGTGAGAGAGGACCGGAGGATCCTGTTCTCGAGGGCATCATCATCGTAGGTCTCGAAGACTTCCCTGTCCATCTTCGAGGTGATGCCCCGAAGGAAGCTCCTCGGCTCGGCAGTGCCGTGCATCAGGGAAGCGCCGGGGGCAAAGGAGAGCTGACGGATCTCCCGGGGTAATTCCTCCCGGGAGGGATTCACCGGATCCTTCGGAGGGACCGAGGCTAGAGGCCCATCAACAGCGGGCATGTCATCAATAATTATGAGGGGGCCGCCCCCCCGACAGCACCCACGGCGCCTTTCTGCTTCTTGGTGGGGGGCTCCACCCCCTTGTCGCTCCTCTTCTTCTTAGCGGCCGCCTCGGCCTTCGACCCCCCGGTCCCCACAGCAGCATGGGCGTCCCCGGCGGAAGGCTCTACGACCTTCGGGAAAAAGGCGTCGGCTGGCTTCTGGCCCGAGGGCCCCTTCTCCTTCAGCTGGGTCTTGCCTTTCCTCTTTGCGAACAGGGCGTTGGCATTCATCCTGCTACCTGCAAAGAAACAACAAGTTAAAAGGTTAGCACAGAGGGGTCCGAGACACGACAACAAACATGACAGAAAATCTCAAAGTACAAAAATGTAAAGCCCCCGGCCACTACCTCCTGCTCCCACGAAGGCTTTATCATAGAGGGGATACTTCTCCTCGGTCTCCCCAATGAACCGATACCTCAGGAATCCGAGGGCATACAGGTCTTTCTCGAGGATGCACTCCTTGATGGTTATGTTCTTATCCCGCCCCTCCGGAATCTCGGCAATCTTCAGGCCATCCTTCTCGAGGGCGGCGCTCTTGACCTTCACATGACGCCGAAAGCAATTCCGCAACTCCCTCGGGAAAGGGCTGTCGGCCAGTCTGATGTAGCACCATCGCTCTCTCCACCCCTTGTTGGAAGAAGGGGCCTCGGTGAACAATTCGAACTGGGCTATCTGCTGTAAGTTCGCATAACCCTCGGCATTGGTATGGCCCCCCCGGCATAGGTTAAAGCTTTGGAAGAATAGCTCCAAGCTCGGTGTAACCCCCCGGAGTTTGCACAGGTTCACGAACCCAGTTATGTACGAGTGGCTATTGGGGGTCAATTGGCAGGGAACCAGGCCGGTGTACCTCAGGTACTCCCGGAGGAACGGATGGAGAGGGAACCGGAGGCCCATTGAGACCGAGAGCACGTGCACGGCTATACATCCCTCAGGGGGCCGCGACAGCACGTCATCAGGACCCGGCTCGACTACTACGGCCGAAGGCCCTACGTGCAACTGGGTGATGTAGATATCCGCCCTGTCAGCTTGGGACTTAATCTCCAGAGCGGCGGTGTCCAGGAAGGAGTAACCCTTCGGCAGATCTACTGCCCCCCCTTGATCGACGACCCTTACTTTCTTCTGGGGGCCAGCCTTCGTCTTCCTCTTCTTCTTCCCGGGGGCCACCCGGATGGGAACTGCACTCAGCGGCTGGGAAGTACTGGCCTCACCAGCACCCCGAGGGGGAAGGACGGCCACAGTGACCTTCGCCCTCTCCTTCTCCTCTTCCTCCTCAGCAATCTGGACGACGAGGGCCAACTCCTCATCTTCCGCGGTCCGCTCGAATTCCTCCGCCTCTGCCTCGGCCATCAGATCCTTCTGCACCTCAGTGGCGAGGGCTGCATCACCACCTTCCGAGGGCTGAGCGCTACTGGACTCCACGTCGGAGATGCCTTCGTCCTCCATCGAGGGCGTCCTCGAGATGTCCTGAGAGTCACTCTGGGACGACATTCTAACCCTAGCACGAGGTTTCGGGGGAACTAAGGTTTCTAGTGAATTCTATCTCCTAAACCGAGGGCGCAATGTACAGCTATACTAGAAGGAGAAAGGCAGGGAGCACTGACCTCGAAAGCTGAGTTAGGACCGAAGGCTGGAGTTTCTCTCACTAGATTTTTTGGCAGAGCTTCGCTAAGACAACTGAGTTCGCACAGGGGAAATGGCTCTGGCCTTGGGGTATTTATAGGCGCTGGAATCCGGGCTTGGGCCCGGAAACCGGGCCTCCGGACGGACCGTCATCATTACCCACCGTCGTTTCACCCAACCGATGACGCCGCCCACGAACAGCCAGCCATCACACGCCACGTGTGCCACCCCCCAAACGGCTATATCCTGTCGTTACATATTCCAACGGCTATATTTCCAACGGCTATATTCTGGAAGCCCCCGGGTTTTCTACTTCACTCCACTTTATCAAGGATAGCCTCCGGGTACACTCACTCAGAAGTGCCCCCGGGTTGCGCCCCACACAGCACATAACAGACGCCTTCGGGATCACTCCTTCAGAAACCCAAGGCTTCATATCAGGGCACCCCTCGGGAATTCCCCCTCAGCACTGCAGAACCGGGTAGCCCCCGGGGAGTTGCCTTCATTGACGGATAACCCGTCGCACGCAGGTAATGGGAGCCCTCGGGTATCTTCATCGCCAACTAATCAACAAACAGTGGACCCCCCGGTAACAACTCCATTGTCGCCCTCATCCAGCAGGCCCTCGATCCCCGAATTGAGGGGCTCCCCTTCGGCGCCACCAGGACATCAACAGCAAGCCTTCGGCTAATCAACACAGGAGCCCTCAGAAGAGAGAGCCCTCGGCATTCCCGTCATTCTCCACTTTATACCAAGGTTTGACATTTTCGATTCATCATTGGGGGAATTCGGTGCACTCTTTTTCCCTCATTAGGATTTTTTCCCAAAGGGTTTTTCCTAATGAGGTTTTTAACGAGGCATCCCCCCAAAATGAAACGAAAAGCGTCAGCCTTCGACCCACAACAGCAACATAACTACTTTACTCCTTTTCACCACTCTACAAGTGCCTCAAGGAGTGGGGAACTGGAGGACCCCCTCGGGAAAATCATTAAATTACAAAATCTGTGAAATTCCAACAAACAACAAAGCAAGCCCTCAAGTTCCGACATGTGGGTAACTGAGGGACTGCCTTCAGCAGGGACATAAAAGCAACAACTCCTCACCAACTTCAGAGATCACGACGGGACAACATCAAAAGGCAAGCACAAATTACTCCTTTTCCCTCAAGTACCTTTCGGCAAAAGGAGTGAGGGACTCCTGATGGAGTATATGGCCCGGGAACCCCCGGCCCACAGACTCCTACTACTCCAGCGAAGGCCTAACAGGCCCAAATCACAGCGCTCAGAGTACCAAGCAGCCTGCGCAACGCACCCGGGGTGCCTTCGGCCCCCTGGCCGAAGGCTCCAAATTCTCACAGAACGGGTTTCTCAAGCAAATTAAGAAACTGAGAGAAAACGACGAAAACAGTAGCCCTCGGCACTGTGAGCCCTCGGCACCAGGGTGCCATCGGGTGGAAGAGCCCTCTGCTACTGCTCTATGGCCGAAGGCATCTCACTCGACAAGATATCCGCCTCACATGCGTACAGATCACCGTACCCCGCACAGACGTCCCGTCCAACAGCCGCATTAAATGCGGCCACATGCGGCTGCCAGCGCCAACCAGTTGAGGTGACCCCTCGACCAATGAGCGCTTGACACGTGTCCCTGCCCGACATTTATTGCTACTATAAATAGCACCCCATTTCCTCATTTGTAACCACGCTGAAAACGGCATTCATACTGAATACACTCTCTCTCTACTTTTACTTACTCACTCTGACTTCTCTCTAAGTTATTCCCCGTAATAACCCTTCGGATATATACCCCCGGGTAGACTATCCATCAGTGTGTAATTTCCATAGTAAAGATCAAGCAAAACTAATTAAAAACACAAACATAAATATGGAAATTACAAACGTATCAATGTTGTAGGAACATTTTACAACATTTTACGTATTTTCTCTCGTATGTTGTCTTGATGTGTTCGAGTATGAATATTAGATGATTACTTGTTATGAATATTGGATGATTGTACTGTGTTTTACCGGTGTGTTGTATGTGTTTATGTATATGTTTGTGAACAGGTGTGTTGTATGTTTTATAATGTGTTGTATCTGGCTCGTAACACTTAAACAAGAGAAGGGAGATCTTATTTATAGCAAACAGATGAGTCTGGGTTGAACTGGGGCAAAAAACTGATGAAATTCTGTTTTGAGAATTAGGCACGATCGTACCTACCCTTGCAGGCACGATCGTGTGTGGCTGGCAGTAGCTACTGGTCTGGGTTCATATGGAAGGGGTAAGTCGCCCAACCATTGGGCGACTTACCCTGACCATGGTTAAACCCAGCAGTAGATCGGTAAATATTTTTTTTCCAGCATTATTTTTGTAATTAATTAATTCGAAAAAAATCTCTTTTCATCTCTACCTAAAACCAACTTTCTCTAATAAAATCCCCTACAAAAGTAACAAAATCCTAAGGAACATTCATAGCCCATTTGGTAACACAAAAATAGACTGATTCGGCTGATTCTGTTGAAATTTATGAAGTTCTGGCTGAAGTGGCTGCATTGGCTGATTCTGCTGATTTTTAAAAAATTATTTTTATAATACATTTTATTAATAAAATAAAGGAAAAATTAAATGTAAAAATGGCTAAAATGATCATCTATAGTAACTTCAGCCAATACAACCAGAAAAATAACTTCAACCTTACTTTTTCTCATTATCGCACAATTCAGCGCGCGAAAACAAAAGTTACGCGTGTGATGAAAAAGTTGGATGATAAGCCCGATAAGCCGAAAACAGTGTTACCAAACGGTCTGATAAGCCCGATAAGCCGAAAACAGTGTTACCAAACGGTCTGATAAGCCCGATAAGCCGAAAACAGTGTTACGAAAACAGGTCTACTCATTCATAAAATAAAATTTATATAGATTTATCCCGTGACGAAATAATGTACACCAAATTTTGTAGAAACACTTTACTTTTTAACGTATTTTCACGTGCAAACAAATGGATATTGTGTTATTAATACTTTTTCATTTGTTTATGATGTGTTGATGTGTTTGGTTATGCATATCGGATGTCTATACGCTGTTTTTATATTGTGTTTCTAAGCAGGTGTGTCACTTTGTATCGTTTTTACCAAATTGTTTTTTCTATGTGTTCTGTAAGTCGTCAAACGTTGAATTGCGATAATCGGGATCGACTTAGGCTAAAAAACGCAATTTTTTGCCACCGGGGCACCGCCGACCGGCCCCGAATGGGCCCAGACCAGCGCTAT